CCTAGTAGCGATGCCAGGAGCTCCTAGTAGCTTCTTGCTCCTAGTAGTAAGGCCAGGAGCCCCTACTAGCTTCTTGCTCCCAGTAGCGATTCCAGGAGCTCCTAGTAGCTTCTTGCTCCCAGTAGCGATGCCAGGAGCTCCTAGTAGCTTCTTGCTCCTAGTAGTAAGGCCAGTAGCGAGGCCAGGAGCCCCTAATAGCTTCTTGTTCCTAGTAGCGGCAACTAGAACGAGTTCATGAGATTTCAAGCAGTAGTCACCAACAAGAGCCCACTGATGAACCAACATGCGGCGTCCAACAACTCCTTTTTTAAAACCCAACTTGTATGTATCATTGTCGTGGTCATTCTGACTGCTGGAGCTCACAAATACCCAGGGATATCAAATATGGTCACAATATGTGATCCAGTGATCCAAGATAAAACTATAATAGCTGACATGTCCCCTTTTGATCATCTTTCTAGATGTTCTCTTGTTGTATTTCGCATGCATACTGCATACTCTCTTCATCTAGTCACTCCCGTCTTGTTATCTACCATTTGCGATGTAATTATGTCAATTAGATTCTCTCTCTCTCTCTCTAATATCTCTTTACACTCTAGTATGGCCTCCATCGCTCTTAGGATGGAGGCCATTCCTCATAGGTTGGAGGCCATCGCTAGTATTTCTCTCTTTCAAATCCTTCCTTCCGCTTCCTTCTCCTTCCTTGCTCCGGCCTTCGCCGGCGACGTGCGCGCCCGTGGTGAGCGCGAACGCCGGGGCGGCGAGCGCCGCTGCGGCGACCGGCGGGGCGGCGACCTGTGTTGGCAGCGGGGAAACATGCGAGGCTCGCGCGTCAAACAGATTGGCAACGAAGCAACACCAGATCAGTCTTTACTACATAAAACGACCAAATGTCTTTCTCAGATTTGTTCTTGGACTCGACATGACGACGCTATGTGTGTTGTTCATCTTGACCATCACCAGTGCAGCTTTGGCGGTGTCATTTAGCTTCATTCCTTTCAGCCATCTGTGAACTTCCGCAGAAAGTACGTCTGGCAACGGGCCCACCTCGACCGACTAGGGCTGCGCCTACATCGGCCAAAGGCAGAACAAGTTGCCAAACACCAAGAACACTTGGGCATGTACACCCTGGTAGCTTCTGAGACTGTCTGCTCGGAGACCACATGGGTCTTGCATAGCAATTTAGTCATGCAAATGATAATCACCCAGAAACCGCATTTACCACACCAAGCATCAACAAAATGCTAAGAGTTATGCGAAGTGTTTCTATCGCGTATTAGGACGCTATTAGGTGGAGGCCATTGCTAATAGTAACAAGAACAAAAAAGGCGCTCGAACCACAAGTCTATTCATCCTTTCGACCGCTCTTGCCACGCCTGCGCGGTGGGGATCGGCGCCGAGGTGGTGAGCGGCGCCTGCCAGCGACTTGTAGGAAAGAGCAAAGCCGTATATGCATTTGTTTACATGTAAGATATAATAGCGATGGCCTCCAACCTAATAGCGATGGCCAAAACAATCTAAGAACCACCTGAATAGAAGTGTGAGCTTTCTTGCGTCCACTAGTAGCTTCTTAGCTGCTACTCAGTAACTTCTTACATCTTCTCACTAGCTCAGCGGCTTAGGTTGGAGGCCATCGCTCTCAGTTTGGAGGCCATTGCTATCAGGTCGGTTTCATGTTGTTTCTTCTTTAGCTCAACTTGCTGCGCCGGAGCCTTCCCGATTCGGCCGGCCTGGAGTCTCGTCGCGAGTCCGAGCGCCGGCGCCGGGGCGAGGGCCTCCGACTGTCCGAGCGCCGGGCCATGGGAGCGAAGGCGCCGGAGCTGGAAGCGAAAGGGAACACGACCAGTCGAAGAACATGTCTTCATTTCGAAGCCCCTGCCTTGTTCATGTCTTTTGGTCATGTGCTAGTTGTATCTGAAGGAAGCATATCTTTGTATTGTGGCTTTCGGTTCTGAGTGTTCCTCGAATGTGTCGCATCTTCGCATATCTTCGCTCATCTAGTCTTGGTAGATTGGCGGAAAACACCTGGGTACAACTTCAGGTGTTAGCATCGCCGTTTTTTTTGCGCGAAGAACACCTGGCTGAAAGTGAAAACAATATACGATTGAGCATAAATACTGCAAAGCGGACACAACATCAATGAATGAAATAAATCCTCAAGTCTGAGGAGCAGCCATCTCGAGTTGTTCAAGCAAGGAAGATCGAAAAAAAAATATATCAGTTCAGCTTCAAATGTGTTAAACGTACAAGCTCAATTCCGAAGCCTCATAGCAGGCTTCTTTGTGAATGAATCGTGCGGCATATGCTTCAATGTGATATTCAATCATGTGTGTTTATATAGTGCTTTTAGTGCTAGTAGGTTGGAGGCCATCGCTATTAGGTTGGAATGCATATCGTTACCATAGGCAACGGATGAAATGACATGTGCCTCTGTTCTTCGATGCTCCAGATGTACCAAGCCTGAAGCATCTCATTTGGCACACCAAGCGAAGGCCTTGGTGGAGCCAACGGCGACGGCTCAAAGCTCCGAAGCAGATCTCAAGATGATACTAAGTAGCTTCTTGTTACTAGTAGTAAGGATGCTCCTAGTAGTACGGCCAGGAGCCCCTAGCAGCGTCCTTGCTCCTAGTAGCGATGCCAGGCCTGTAGTAGCTTCTTGCTCCTAGTAGCTTCTTGTTACTAGTAACTAGTAGTGATGGCCTCCAACCTACTTGCGATGGCCTCCACCTAATAGCGTCCTATAATGTGCTGGCATCCGGACAAGAAACAAATTCATGGCGACAAACAGAAACATGAAATGAAATGGCCCAAACTTGGGTGACACATTCAATATCGACACCAACAACTTGAGATCTTCAAAACTTGTGTCTTTGCTCACGCAGGAGCCTGCATTATGCTCCAAGGTCTCCGGCCAAAGTCCCACGTTTTCCTCAGCTAATGCCTCTTCCTCGTGGGGCTGATGCTGTTATGAAGGTGCAAAACAAGACCCAAATGTCCAACTGCAACTAACACTGGAGGAAACGTATTTATATAAAAAAATATCAATGAAAAAGTAATAACAGAAGAGCCTTTGCCTTCAATGGATTCAAAGTGTTCGTATTCAAAAATAATGTTCTTTGTTTCTGAAAAGGTTGGGGCAACGTGATGTCCCAGCGACAACTGTTCCCACCCCAAACCATGTTGAAAAACCCATTAGTAAGGCCAGGAGCCCCTAGTAGCGTCCTTGCTCCTAGTAGCTATGCCCTTTGTTCCTAGTAGCTTCTTGTTCGCTCTTCAACGGATCCTCTTCAACATTCTACGATTTATCTCTCTGGCTCAATCCGCTCCTCCTTCTCAAGCTCCTCGGCTTCCTGTTGATCCGTCATCTCTGCGGGGTTGGCTTCACGGTCAGCCTCACTTAAGCAGTTAAAGCTCCTTCGCATGGTAACTCTGTTATCTCCTCAAGTTCTTGCGCTTCCCTGAAGGTGCAAGAAAGGAAACAAGACTCAAGAGTTGATACTATTCGACGCTGCACGCAAAATGATCTAGGTACCAAAAACAGGTCTAAGCGACCAAATGATCTTTATTTGTAAGCTCTACCGGAGCTTACTTAGCTCGACACGTTTCTCTCAGCTTGCGCGACTCAGAGGCACTGGGGGCACTGCCTCCGGAGTGTTTGCCGTCGGCGCCTTGCACTTGAAGAGGAAGCCCTTGGCGACACGATGGCCGGTCGCACACGTGCCGTTCCTCGACACGTGCCCTTCCTGAAAAGGTAAAAAAAAATGAATGATGCAAAAAGCGGAATCGAGTAGTCCATTCCCTAAGCCTCTTTGAGCTTCTAATTCGAGCCGAGGTGTAAAGCTTATCAAGCAAGAAAAGGAACATTCTGAGTCGAGGTGCTCCGCAAGGTGCTCCACAAGGTGCTCTGGGTTTTTCAGCGCAAAGCTTTTTCGTCACACTCAACATCGCAACAGCTATGTCACTTTGTCACAAGCTGCTCAGTCTGCGTTGCTTTTGACAAGTTCTAGCGTCGAAACTCACACAACTGAGGCAGTGTAGTTCGCCGCTCCTCTGTGCTGCTCACAACCTGTTGCAAGGAAGTGCCACACCCGTTTTAATCTGTGCCCTTGAAAAATAAGAAAATAACATCACTAAATCAAACTACAATGTCAAGTGGAGCTGCTGCCCTGCTTGAAAGAAGGGAAGGAAGAATAGGAAAGGTCCAAAGAAAGGTTCAAAAACATATCCTTCTCTTTCAGCCTTTTGACCTTCCTCTTCTCTTCCTTTTGTTTTCTCATTACTAGTAGCAAGAAGGCAAGAAGAACACTTTTTCTTGAACAAATCCTGACCCCCCTTCCGAGTGGCTGCAGCTCACAGTGTGGAGCAGGGGCCATCCTGGCCTCAGAGATTCCGTGTCAATTGAACTTTCCCAACGGACCAAAGCTTACTGAAGCCCATTGAAGTTGCCAGTGTGTCCAAGCTGGTGTTGCAGAGCTTATCTTTCTGTGATTTGCCGCGTTCCATCAAGAACAGTTCAACCACTGAGAGCTGCACTTTGCTTTGAAGCCGCCGGATTGTCCGGTAGACGTTCCACGAATTTGTTGTAGGGCAAAACCCATCTCCGTGGTCGTTGGTTGGGGCCTCCCGTCGGGGGATCTTGTTGGTAGATCATCTGCCGACGCAAATCCACGGCGAAGATGCTCCCGATGAAGGGCGTCTCGGAGCCCAAGCAAAGAACAAAGAAAAGAAAACAAAAAAACGAACATGAAATAGAAAGCCAAGAATAGGAAAAACCACCTGAAAAAGACATAAGGTGCTTTTTTGTGCTTTGTTTCGTCTATTTCCTATTTTTTCACTCGTCCTCGGAGCCCAGGAAGAGCAGGAAGCCGTCCGACATCTTCGGCGCATGCAACAGCCACGTCACGGAGATCGGGATGGAATACCTCGCGACGTCATCCGAAGAGGAGGTCTCATTAAGTTCAAGTATATATGTCTAAATATATGGTAAAATAATGAAATATATTTACATGTATATTACATATATAGTAATACATGTGTGTATTATGTAATTAGTAATTAGTGTAACATGTTTGTACACACACGTTGTATCACTCTAATCACTCATTGGGAAGAGATCAAAGCCCTGATACTGTTGTTAAAAGGTTGCAAAAAACAGGATCGCTTTGCAGCTCGTGTTTGCCCTCAACCACGTGCCAGCTTGTCATCACAGCACATTCTTCTCCACTATAGTAGCAGAATGACCAAACCAGCCAGCCTTTGGGTTCCCAGTCCGCACCTGACAACACCGTATCAGATCAGTACCATCGCAGCACCCACCCCACTCCCAAAAAGACACCAAACGTGGACCACCGTGGACTCACCGTGGACCCATCTGCCGTCCCACCGGACGCTCATCCGAGTCGCCTGAGTTGAGGCTTCAGCGTGGAGGCTTGGTATTGATCGGCGATGATGGTCTGAGACCCCGAGAAGCCCAAGGTGATGATCGAGTCGGTGACCTCCGATCAGGTGCATCCACCGCGATAGGAAGGAAAAAGTGCCCGCAGGTCACTGAACAGTTACTACGGTCTGTATTATAGTGCAGTGCAATATGTTCGTCCCTTGTACCACAAGCAAATTTGAGCAATAAGTCAAAATGCACCCTGTTCCGGCCAGAACAGAAGGGCCTTGAAGGGGTCTCAAAACGACTTCCCTAGCCATCGCACCGAGCGACTCGGTCGTAGATCACCGAGGCCACGAGGTCCACGGCCAAGGTCGTCAGCCGCTGCATCTGAGGAAAGGTCACACGTGCCAAGCAGCTGTAGGGCCGACTGCCATCATTGCGATTGGGATCCCAGGCTAAAACCACCTGAGCTTCTCGGTGGAGGCCATCGCTATTGGGGTGGTCTTGATGGGAAGAGAACTTCATGGGACCCGGTCATTGGGAACATGTGAAAGGGATTGTCCTCTTTATGTTGGTCCCTGGGAACTTGGAATCGTTGGAATCTTCCCACTGAATTGAAGCCAACTCACACGAAGACAAAGAAATACCACAGAAGAAAAAGGGCAATTGCCAAATACAGGCGATTCATCAAAACTGCACTTTTGTATGTTTAGACTTTTTCCAATGAACCTCAGACTTGTTCAAGGCCGTCGCCAGGGCTGCGTAAACATGTTTGGACCTCGCAGGGATGAAATGTGGGCTGACGGCTGACATGATGGTATGTGAAACCAAACATGGGCTTATTCCAAGCCAAAAAAACAGTTATCTTAAACTTCTTAAACCTCCACAAAGTTCTGAAATCATTGTAATATTCCCGTGTCTAGCAGTACTGTGTGTTTAGAACTTTTGCCGAGCATGCTGCTGATGAATGACCAATGCCGCTTTGTTTGCTTTCTTCTCCCGGTGTCTTCCTCCTTTCGTCTCCTTTGTTACTAGTAGCTTCTTGTTACTAGTAGTAAGACTGCTTCTTACTACTAGTAGTAATACCCTTTGTTGCTAGTAGCGATGCCCTTTGCTCCTAGTAGCTTCTTGTTCATTGCTTTCTCCCCCCTCCTGAAGCACAAATCCTTTCCCAGTGGTTGTAAAGCTCCCAAGGCGGCGCCAGCGGAGAAGTGGTGGCAGACCATCCCGGAACCCGCCGCTTCCGCCTCACCCCGCTGCACCGCCACCAGGCAAGGCTCCTTGGCCTATCATGATGAATTCAAAAGGAGGGTCTAAGACAAATGGCAAAGAGAACCTGAATTGTTCAATGAAATTCATTTACTTGTTTTGGAAGGCACAAACGTTACCCTTCATTTGACAAGAAGATCTTTTGCATTCCGCAGCTACCGGTGGGTGGCAACTCCCAATTCCGCTATCTCTGAATCTCTGCTCCAATATGTTCCGATCCAAACAAGACCTAAGTATCCTTTGTTTCAATCCCGGCCGCCCAACCTCCTTGCAGATTGGCAAGGTGCCAGAACCCACCACCAAAGTGACACTCTGGTCACTGGCACTCCTAAAGCAAGAAAGCCAGATCTCGAATATGCCAGACCATCTTGGAAACTGCCAGAAATGGCTTGAGCCCGATCAACCAAGACAAGCAGGGAGAGACACGGAGACAAACATCAACAAAGAGAAAGAAAAAGCAGACAAACAGAGAGAGAGAGAGAGGGAACAAAAATATAAGAGGAGAAAACAAGAAGAGAAAGAGCAGAGAAAAAAGAACAGAAAAGAAGGAGAGAAGGACAGGAGAAAAGAGGCAAGAAGCGAAGAGAACCACTACTGGGAGGGCTTCTCCATCCACCCGCCGTCTCCGCAAAAGAACGGTTGCTGGGAGGCTCCTTCAAACACAAACACAGTTCGTAGAGTTGAACGGCCTTAAAGAGCTAGGATAGGGCAGTTCCAATGTCGTTTGACCATCGAAAACCCAAAGGACACCATTGATAGAGACTACGCAAACACGCTACAGAAAAGACTACTAAGTAGAGCAAGTAGAGAAACGGCGCAAAATACATATTCCATACACAGATGATCAGCACGGAAAGCGGAAAACAAAGGTAGAGAAAGGTGAAGGAGTGAAGATCATGGTCGGCTTTTTTGAATGCAAAAACATAACTATTTAGTCATATTTCATCTTCTGTCTGTGCTTCTTTTAAGCACTACCCTGCAGTCATGTCCGGGTCTTGGACGACACTCTTTCTACTTCACTCATCGAAAAAAGGGTGGACTTGGGCCACTTAGGGCCTCTTGGACCTCGTTACAGGGGGCGTTCTTCAAGGGGCCCAAGTCCACCTTCTTCTTGCCTTTCTACTTTTACTTTCCTGCTGCTACCTATGTGGATTAATGCGTTCAAAATAAGGCGTTAGAAACAATCAAGGTTGGGTCTTTCTCGTCTGGTGAGCATTGCGTCTGTCTCCAACTTCTCCTGGTGGAGTTGGTGAACACCGTGCTGGCCATGCCATTCACACCCAACACACTTGAAGAGAGCTTCACGAAGCTGCTGGCCCGGCGCAAGCTGGGCGCCAAGAAGCTCGCCTGGAAAACCAGCGTCGGCCGCGGCGGGTGAAAGGGAGCTGTTGTGTCCAGGTGGCTTTCTTTTGGTGAAGGGCTGTGCTTAAGGAAGAATACCACTTCTGTCTTTTCACCTATTTTACAATTATATCGCTTGACCTGCTTGCAGCTGCCTTGTCATTGTACTGAGCATTGTATGAGCAATCATCATGATTTGAGAGACAAGTTTACAAATATCATCAGCTGCGTCAGCTGCGTGCTCTTGCCTCATAGGTGTCGTTGGGCAAAATCATCGGCTGCACCTCCCAAGGTAGTGGTGGTCCATGATCTGCAATGCCACCATGCCAGCGTAAGGCTTCAATGTAACGATCCCGCTGTACATGAAGGATCAGTAGGATTGAGATCAACATCATCGCCCACACACATTTCCTGGCCAAATCACCAAAATTGGAAACGGGATGTGCTGTCTATAATCAAATCTCGTTTGCTTCTGCCATATAGCATGCATGACATACCCAGAAACAAGCCATGGACGTTTGCTAAGTAACTTGTCACATCACTCACAACCTAACCGATCGAAACACTTCTTATCTCTTAGAAAACGACTTCTTGCTTCGCTTCCGCTACTAGGAACAAAGGGCATCACTACTAGGAGCAAGAAAATGCTAGTAGCTCCTGGCCATACTAGTAAGAAGAAGCTATAAACGTAGCTATTTGCAGCTTCGCTTTCCGTCCTGGAACCGCCATTGTAGGTCTCCGGGTCCACCTCCGCACGCTCCCCACGCTGTTCGCGACCTCGCCAGGCGTCGGGGTCGGCGTTGCCCAGCTGCACCGGCGCCAAGCGCATCGCGCCAGGCGGCCGCGGCTGGCGCTGCAGGCGATGCAGTGCGACACCGGCCGTGCGACATGGCGCTGCCGCGGCTGGGAGTTGGTGGATCCCAGTGGAAGCTGGATATCTGGAAGCTAGGGCTCCTGGCCTTACTACTAGGAGCAAGGACGCTGCTAGTAACTCCTGGCCTTACTACTAGGAACAAGGTTCGCTACTAGTAACAAAGCTGGTGGTGGGGGAGAACTGAGATGAGAAACATATGAACTCAACGATGCTTGGGAAGTGTGAGTCATCAGTCGTCATGCCATGCCTAAACCATCCCAAACCCCATCAGGGTAGGACTCAGTCGCATTCGCATCTCTTTCGGGCCACAGACGGCCACGGAACACAAACGGCCACATGGCGTGGATCTGTGAGGCTCCAACTGCGTTCTCTGCGTTCACGGTGGCGGTGTTACTCTGTGACTCTCTGGAGTTGCTGTCGGCTAAGTTGGAAGCTTTGACCTTCTTGGCCGCCCTTGGTTCAACTGAAAGCAAAGCGCCGCAAAGCACGGAAAGTCTTCAGGTTCACCACTTGCCATCATCTGACTATTCATCTGTAGAGAAGATCTGTTTCATGCTGGCAAGTCCATTCAAATTTCTCTTGGTCTTTCCTGAATAAAGCGAACAAAGATCAACGTTCTGTTCGTGTCGGCTTCCCCTCTGCCATCTGCCAAGGCTCCCTGGACGAAGTTCTTCCTTCAGCATCGGATGTTTGCAGCCCGTGAAGTTCGGTGGAGACAACTCCAAGTCCGCCTCGGTCCGTAGTAGCGTCCGATCGCTCCAAGTAGTAAGGCCAGGAGCCCGTAGTAGCTTCTTGTTCCTAGGCCTCAAAAAGGAAGGGAAGGTCCGTTTCCGTCACACAAAGGTCCGTTTCTCCATCGAAGAAGTTCTTGCAGCACGTTCTTGCCGAAAAAGGAAACGAAGGGATCCGAAGGGCAGAAACAGAATATCGAAAGCAAGACAATGCGAAAAGAAAGAACAACAAAACAACAAGGAAGACATGCAAAATTAAAAAAATCAGAAGATAGGCGGTCTAATTATATATAACGGTCCGATTCGCTAGTAAAGTGAGGAGACAAAGACGTCCATTCCCTCTTTGCCCAGCTTTGCGTAGGCCGGGCGGTCACGACACAGCAAGACTTGCCGCTTGGCCAAGCAATTTGCTGCACAATTTTAATGAAAAAAAACGCCCCTAGTAGCGTTCTTGCTCCTAGTAGCGATGCCAGGAGCCCCTAGTAGCTTCCTTGCTCCCAGTAGTAAGGCCAGGAGCCCCTAGTAGCTCCATGCTCCTAGTAGCGATGCACAATTTGCTGCACAATTGGTTGTCTTTGTGTATGTTTTCATTGCATGTCAATTGTGGCTTATCGGAAGCCAATGTTGCTGTGGCGTCCAGTACTGTGCGGTGGATTATACAGTTACACCTATGCACGGATCAATGCTCTGTACCAACAAGTTCATGTCGTCTTTGGTTGGTCTCATCGCTCACAATTCTTTGGCGATTCAAACTGAGTATTGATCTCACTTGAAACCAAACCCTGATTCGATGTCCAAGATCTCTTTCACGGACTCTCCAAGTGCCCATCCCTTTCCACGCACGGAACACGCAACACCGTTGAAAAGCACGGAACCGTGCCACCGTTGAAAAGCATACAGTGTGCTTTCCTAAGAGCAATGGCCTCCAACCTACTAGCAATGGCTTTCCGTGCATGCATAGACTATAGTGAAGTTATGAGCAGTTCCGACGCTAGGAGCAAAGGGCATCGCTACTAGGAGCAAGGACGCTACTAGGAGCTCCTGGCCGTACTACTAGTAACAAGGACGCTAATAGGAGCAAAGGGCATCGCGCGCCCACGACCCAAGTGGCGAATCGCGTCGTCCCGTCAGCGCCTCTCCGATCTTCAACTCACCGTCGACCACGGCGAGGTCACAGTCCTTGTCGGCGATCTGGCGACTGCACCTGACGATCAGTGCGGCTCACAAGGCTAGGTTGGAGGCCATCGCTAGTAGTAACAAGGGCATCGCTACTAGTAACAAGTGCCTTACTAGTAGTAACAAGAAGCTACTAGAAACAAGTGATCGCTAGTAGTAACAATGGCATCGCTACTAGTAGCAAGAATGCTACTAGGTTGGAGGCCATCACTATCCGTGCGAACGGGAAAGCAAGGGGTCGCCAACACACCAGGCTTGATCCTTTGGTGGACTATGAGGTTCTGTTACTTTGCCTCTTCAACCCCACGTTACCCCACAACACCCCACCATTCACAAATCAGGCCAAGGTACAGTGGGACCTTGATCCCGTTGTCTGCCTTGGTGCCACGGATGTGGCCCACCCCCCTTTTCAAGCGACAGTGAGTTGGTTTCGTGTTTCGATGTCACTGTCACTCCACTTAGTGAAGACTTTCTCCCTTTCAATGTGTCCAACTCCCTGTCCACATGTCTCTTCTTGAAACTGTAGACCTTGGCACATCGAAATTTGCACAATTTGCTTGTTCCTAGGAGCGTCCTTGCTCCTAGTAGTACGGCCAGGAGCCCCTAGTAGCGTCCTTTCTTGGCACCACAATTTGCACACTGGGCACATCGAAATCTTCTTCTCAGGTCCCCGACCATTGTGGCAGCGCGACCGGCGACAGCAGGCACAGGTCTGCGCACCAAAATCAGACTGTTGAAAGGAGCTCCAAAAAAGAGCGATCAGCAACTCAATCCAAAAAACACACAAAGAATCTGTGTCATCTTTAATCTCTGGTGCTGGAAGAAAGCTTCCTTGTCTGAAAACCTCCCTTCTCTGGTGCGCATTTTTAACCCGCCGAGACGGTCACGGCGGCCACTCGAAAGACATCCTAAGTTTTGCACCACCAAGACCAGACCAGAAGGCCATGTGCAGAATGCATCGCTTCTGAAGACCGCTGCTACTAGGCTAGAAGCTGCTAGTAACAAGAAGCTACTAGATGAGGCCATCCATCGCTATTAGTAGCAAGAAGCTACTAGTAGCTCCTGGCAGTCCAAAGATTCAGCCTGGACCTTAGCCGTTGTAAAACAAAACAGCAGGAAATGGATCAACTTTGTTCTCTCTCAGCTGAGACACGGAATGCGAGCCACGCGCAAGAGGAGACTTCGCGCATGCCGTTGATCCAACATCTTCAGCCTTATCCACAGCAGAGGCTATTGCTATTAGCAACAAGAAGCTACTAGTAACTCCTGGCATTACTACTGCAATTACTAGGAACAAGAAGCTACTAGGGTGGAGGCCATCCACAGCATCCACAGCATCTACGAACGTTCCACACCGCTCCACACCGCTCCAACAAACGGATGGGGTGCCCAACATCCAAGGGCTCTCATCGATCGCGACGAAGAGATCCTGCATGGCCTGAAGCACAGTGTGCCGAATCGAACATGTGGTTCGACTTGTTTGGCCAAACGCATTGCTGTCGACTTGTTTCAGACCCTACCTTTGGTATCCTTTGCTTTCCTTCCTCTGCTCTCCTTTGTTGTTCTGTTCTTGATTTCCTTTAGCACGCACTTCTTGTTGCTCTCTTTCGTCTCAATGTCCACTTTTCAAACAGTTGTGAGTAGTGACTGGGGAAGGTATTCGTTAAGCATGGTTGCATTGGGATTGAAACATTGCTTATATGGCGCTGATCGTCCCGGAATCCAGTTGGAATCCGCAAGTCCAATGATTTCTAAGCTTGTGGCACCCTGCAAGTCCAGCTCCGCTTCAAAGCATTCGATCAGCGGAAGCCTCAGTCACACCACAAGTGTTCACCGGCAACCTTCGACAGATTCAAAAAAAAGAGGCGATGTGACCGGGATGTGACGTATAACAATGGTAGTACTCCGGGAAGCAGTGCATGAACTGGCGTCGGAGTTCGCTCACCAGTCATCTTGTTCAGCTCGTTGGGAAATTGACATAGGTGAGACATAGGTGAGGCAGGGAAGAATGCCAAAACCTTGAGGATTTGGAATTGCCTTGGCTGGAAGTCTAGCGACCTCCAATGGTGAGGTATCGCGACCTCTAATTGTTAGACATTCTAATTTGTTTCTAATAGCTTCTTGTTACTACTAGTAAGGCACTTGTTACTAGTAGCGATGCACTTGTTCCTAGTAGCTTCTTGTTTCAAGAAAAGCACCGCCATTTTGAAGGTTGAGCCTCCCAGCAGCGTTCTCCAAGCCAGAGCCTTTCGCAAATTTTGGACATGCTCCTCTGGGAGAGCCTCACGAGATGGGCCGTGATCCGATGTGAAAAGACTAACGTGTTCTTTCAGAAGCAGAAAGGTCTGAAGGTCTACAGATAAAAGGAACCTGAGAACAAATGGCTTCTCAATAACCTTGGATTCAATTCGATGTTTAATTCCTTTTGTCAGAAGTTGTGGGAACTCCGGCATGCCTTCACAAAAATTGCATTACAATAGTAAGCTCCCACCCTAAGACAAAGCCAAAATAAAGTTACAGAAGGACTGCGACAAGCATGTTTAAACCGCCCTTGCCACTACAAACATTACGAGTAGACAATCTACTTGGGTCTCTAAAAAGGAGATATCACACA